GAACCTTCTGAGGCTCCAATCACTTTTGATGCAGATTCTTTTCTTAATTATTTTGATAAGATTTTAGGTAAGTTATAGTGTGATATTTATTTTCATTTTGAAACTGTTAAGTGGTATGGGTAGGGCAGTGGAGCATTGGATCTCTCAGAAGATAAAATGCTTTCTCTTCATAATTTTGTGTTGCTTTCAATCATGAATCCCTGCTGTCTTGGGTGGTTTTGCAGAGGATGCTTAGCTCAGTGCTTAACATAGAAGTTGCTCATATTTGTTGAATGAGTGAATGCTGTGTGTTTAGATAGAGTTACCTTGGCTCCTATGTTATGTTATTTTGCTCTTTTATACTTACTGAACTTACATGCTAATAATGAGACATATAGCCCAATAAAAGAAATCAACAAAGGATATAAAAAGGCATAGCCTTGAAGAAGAAATATAGTCAATAAATATTTGAAAAAAGTTAACTATTTCCAGGAAGCAAGTAAATACACAGTAAAAATAATTACCTTTTTTGCCCTTCGTATTGGCAAAAACTTAAAAGACTGACGGTAACCAGTTTTCTCCAGGGCTGGAGGAGTGAGCACTGTGCACACTGTGGGGCAGAGGTGCACGTCGTCTTTCCTCAGGGCCGCTCGGTGCTCTAGAGTGTTTATAACTTTTGACTTCCCAATTTCAATCTAGGAATTTACCCTGTGAAAATGACACATGTGCTACTATGGTGATTGCAGCATTGTAGTAGCAAAAAAATGGGACATCCTAAATGTCTATCAAGAGGGACATGGTTAAATAAATCATAGTGTGGTTGGGCCTTGAGCAACATGGGGCTTAACTGTGCAGGTTCACTGACATGTAAATGCTATGAATGTATTTTCCTTACGATTCCCTTAATAATATTTTCTTTTCTCCTGGTTACTTAATTGTAAGAATACAGTATATAATACATATGCAAAATTTATGTTAACTGTTTATGTTATCAGTAAGGCGTCTGGTCAACAGCAGGCTATTAGTGAAGTTTTGGGGGAGTCAAAAGTTATATGCACTTTTCAAGGGTCAACTGCATATCCATATTATGAAATACTTAATAAAGAATAAGGTTCATCTGTATGTTTTGACAGAGTAGGACCTCCAAGACATACAAATAAGTAGAAAAGCAAATCATTGTTTAGTGTGTATATTTGTGGGGAAAGTACAACCATGTTTATATATGTACCCAGACCTGCATAAAGGTCTGGATAACCACCCAACTATTGAAAGATGCCTAACTCTGGGAAGAGAGTGAAAAGTGAGACAGTAATTCTGCATGGCTTGAATGTTTACATCAAAATGTATTCATGCATTATGTAGTTTTGAAATTTTCAAGTAAAAAATTTTAATTAATTGAAATCACTTTTTTTTTTAAGCTGAATCTTTCAGGTCAACCTGTGTACTTTTCTGCAAATATCTGCCACCAGTACCATTTTCTGGAAGTGATTTTTGTGAAGGAGTTTGCCTATGTATATTGGTTCTTTTCTGCAAATAATATTCTGAGCCTTTTGAGATGTATAATAAGAAATTTTTTTCACCAAGTGGCTTTTTCTGTGTTGGGGTGTAGGGCCAAGGCCTCCTGAATCAGACTCCGATGACCTGGATGAGGATGACTTCGAGTGTTTAGACAGTGACGAGGAGTTAGATTTTGAAACACAGGAGCCCGGGGAAGAAGCATCTGTAAAAGGAGCACTTAATGATCTCAAGTCATACATGGCCCAGATGGACCAGGAACTGGCCCACACCAGCATTGGCAAAAGTTTCACCACCCGGAAGCAAATGGTATACATGTGTTTAACTTCTTTCCCTTTCTGAGTTTGTTATAAAGAGTAGCTACAACCCTATTTTATCTTAATAGGATTTCTTAGTTTGTGATAATATTTTTCTGATAAATTTGATTTTTTGATTTGAAATAAATAAAAACATGAATTTTTCCTAACTCTGGAAAGATGAAGGATTATTAACTTTATTTTTCTAAACATAAGCTTTATTATATTACTTATTCTATGTTATCTATCAGGATTTAAAATCAAGTCATGTGATCTGTTGAAATTAGTGTGAGGGTTGCCCTGGCTGGTGTGGCTCAGTGGATTGAGTGCTAGCCTGTGAAACAAAGGGTTGCTGGTTCGATTCCCAGTCAGGGCACTTGCCTCAGTTACAGGCCAAGGTCCCCATTAGGGGTGTAGGAGAGGCAACCATACACTGATGTTTCTCTTCCTCCCTTTCTTCTTCCCTTCCCCTCTCCCTAAAAATAAATAAATAAAATCTTTTTAAAAAGTTACTTTGTGGTTAAATACTATTACTAACGAGTTGTTTAAAATGAGAAATGACCTTAAATATCCAAATATTTTTCAAGTATTAATAGTGTTTGAATTGTATGTTTCCCTAATTTAGAGCCAGATTTAGAATTCATCTTTTACTAATGTTTTAAATTTCGTTTTTATACCAGCACTGTCTAACCCTAGACAAAGAAATTAGGGAAATAGAATGAACCCTAGAATTTCATGGATTAGGGTTGAAAATCTGTCTTTGCTCTTCACTATGACTGTGTCCATTAACCAATAATCCTCATGTTTATAGAATTAACATGAGAACCACATGAGACAACAGTGAAACCCACAATGGGCCCTTAGTTTTGGTAATCTAAACCACATTTAAAACTATAGTCACTTCCAGTATTGCCAATATCTAATAGAAACTATACATTAGATTTATCTAAAGCAGTGTTTCTAAAGTTTCAATGTCAATTTGAGCCACGTAAATATATTATTAAAATATAGATCCTGGTTAAGTATGTCTGGGCTGTGCCTGAGATTTATATTTCTAACAAAGTCCCAAGCGATGCACATTTGAGTAGTGAAGATATAAAGGTTTATGGATCAAGTTGCATCTTTCAAATTTTTTCCCAACCTGTAAAATCAGAGGCTCCAGTAACAATTCAGTCTTTGTGGTTCAACTCCAAAAAGCTTCAGGTTTTTACTTGAAGTTTTTTCATTGGGAACAGGGGGTGAAGAAAATCTAGTTTCTTTCACTTAGGAAAAAATGTTAATGTTTCCTTTTTGTGCTTTTTTTTTTAACTCTTAGGCATACTATAAATGTACCTCCTCAACCCTGGTTGTCTCCCTTGGGCTGTCTCAAAATAGGGAAGAAATTCATTCAGTTTGTAGACGCAGAATTTTCTTAGAAGTGTCTCAAGGCCTTTGGTACCAAATTTGAATACGTGTTTTAAATGACATGGTTTATTAGACTTCATTTTTGCTTTCTATCATTGGGATTTAATTTTACATTGTTGCTTAGTTAGCTTTGAATTGTAAGTACCATCAGTTTAATGGCATATCACCCCATCATTTCCTGTTCCCTCCGTGTATAAGGAATCTACCAGGAAGAATTCAGATGAGGAGGATAATGGTGCAGGAGGATCTGTTATGACACCAGTGGATGTAGACCTGAACCTGGTTTCAAATATATTGGAATCATATAGTTCCCAGGATGGACTGGCAGGACCTGCTTCCAACCTCCTACAGAGCATGGGTGTGCGGCTGCCCGAGGACACCGACCACAGACCTGCAAGTGAGCCAATGGGAGACTAAGGGCGAGCCTGGCCTCTTTCTTTCTTTCTTTCTTAAATAAATGTTGAATCTGAGTGTGCTCATTTCTAGTTTACAGTGCTCTTTTAGTAAAAATGTTTCTTTATTACAAGTTTCACAGGTTGCCCCTCAAGTGTCCTCTCTCTACAAGGTTCTCTGTGATCTTCAAGAGGTGCACACAGGCACCGAAGTCAGCAGAGAGAATCCAGCCCCTGAGATGAGATTTACGTGCTCCTCGTTTAGAATATTGTTTAGTTTTATCGAGGATTAAATCTTGGGTAGAGAATGGAAGGTAGTCAAAAATAAGGAATGGGTGGGTTGCTTTTTTTATTCCACGTACCAGGAATGACCTTGAGCCCAGCTCACTCTGGTGACAAATATATTTATTTTAATGTTTTACCTGTTTTTACTATTCTACTTCATAGGCCAGTGGGTTCTTTTTATCCTTAGCACCTTCGTAATGAATTGCTACATAAACATTCACCAGCCAGGTGAGCCCTGGACGAAAGTTTCTTTTCTTTATCTGTCATTTCCAGTATCCCAACCTTGTCCTCTTTTGCCTCAGCTTTCAGATACCTTTGGAGTTCTAAAGCAAAGCTCTCTTCCCACTCAGTGCTGGGAAACAAAGTTCGATGTTGCAGCTTCTCCCATTAGCCACTGTCATCTTTTCTTTTCCAAAACACATTAATCCAAAAGCAAACAGTTACTCCAGGGTAAATTTGAGAAACATCACACACTCCCCTTTCTGACCTGTATTTTCAGACGGGGGGATGTGTACACTTGTGCTCACAAACACACCCACACAGGGCTAGGAAAGGCTGGGAGAAGGTAGTACACATGGACCCTGAACTGTTTTCTTCTAACTGCAAGATATGGGGAAATCTCGGGGTCTCTCTTTCGAGAGTGCCTTTCCCTTCTACATGCTGGGTTCAGCTCAGGTCAGGGCAAGCTGCCAATCTCACAGGACAGTCGAGTCCCATCATATTTTATCCCTCAACATGTCCTGATGAGTGCACCTGGACTTTACAAAGCAGCGATGGTTTGCTGGCAAGAGGGAGAACAATGGTCTTTTCGTTTCAAAAGGGAATTCAGTGCTTCAGCTTTTCTAGTTCTGAAATCTCTTTTGCTTAGTCTGTGGAACTCTGATGCATTCATAATCATAGGGTGTTTGGCACTTACATATTTAACCACAAGTTAGTGTCTAAAATCATCAGAAGATACGGCTCCTTCCCCAGCCATGCATTCCTCTTTTCAAGCTGGCCTCCAGCGGTATTTCTTCTCTGCACATTGCTTCAGTTCTTCCAGACTTGGAACCTGGACTTAAACATTTGTCACACTAAATTCACACTTGCTGCGATTTCTTCACTCATAAAACAGAAAATACATCTGAACAAAGGAGTGGAAACTTATTTTATTTCCTCCAGACAAATTCTCCCTCATGGCAAGGTATACAAATGGCATATATGAATGATGAGAAATCCTAAGTTTAGTTTATCCTATAGAACTCAAGAAATGGTTCACATTTCTTGTTCTGGTTCGCCCTCTCTAAGCCCTTAGTTGAAGTTACAACACTGGATGTGCGAATGGCAGTGGTCATTTTACACTTAGGAAACCAGGAACAGCAATGTGATCCTCCCAGCCTTGGATCACAAACCCAGCTAAGTGCTTCACTGAGAAGCAGTGACCGCAACAGAACAGCATTGCTTCTGACTTACTGCAGAGCTCTGAGGGAGACCTTAGCCCCCACTTTCCTCATCCCTTCAGTGACTTAAAGAACTATGACTTTTATTTCACTACTATATACAAAATAATCACCTGCACATAAATTCAAAACTGTTATGTTGTACTATTTGTCTTAAGTCTATGAGGATAAAAAGTAACTCAGTGGGTTGAGATTTGCTATATATTTTAAATAGTAAGATAAAAGTTTTAACCAAAATTATACCAGGCACATTTTGGCAGTTATAAACCCAGCATTAACAAGCCACACACCAACAGTTGTTTGCACCTGAGGTTTCGGAGAAGATGGGTGAACAAGGGCCTACATCTAAACTGAAGCCTCGGCCTTCCCCCTGGCTTTGACGGTCATCATCCCAGTAGTCTCTCTTCTTGCTCTGGCACCTCTGATTTTCTGTAAGTAGGGATGGCTTTCATTCACACTGCTGGGAGAGGTGTCTCGCTGTTGGCTCACCTTATTCTCTGCCTTAATGTGAGTTTGGCTAGATATGGCATTTTGTCACCTCTCCTTTTCAACTGACATTTGATATGCCCCTCTGAGATACTGAGGAGGGATCTAGGTGGCCTGGTCTGAGCTAAGCAGGCAGAGAAGGACAGGTTGGTTTTTCCACCCACTCCTTAATCAGTTGGTGGGCAATGGCTAACTTCGGGGGCAGCCAGAATGGGAAAGTCCCATTCTGTTGCTTAGTATATGGGTCATTTCTCTTCAAGGCCATGACCACCTCATCATGACTGAACCAGGCAGCTGCTTCTAGTTCTCTCAAGTTTACCTGGATCTGAAAGACAGGAAAAACAGAATGTAAGATTAAGAGCTACAAAATTTAGAATATTATGGCCAAAGGTGAGAAATGGTTGTAGAACTGGGAAATCTTGGAAGGTAATACCTGGGATCCATTGACTGGGAGATAATCAACTCTAGATATTGCCCAGGAGCAAAAGAGGCATCATTAAGAGATAAAAGTTAAATGTTTAATAGTAAAAAAAATTTTTAAATATTCTGGAAGCACAAATACTAAAATATTAAGAGTGGTTAATCTAGAGGGTAAATTATGAATAATACCTGTTTTTCTTTCTGCCTCTGTTGATTTTATAACATAACAAATGTTACTTTAAAAGATAAAGTGTAATTGACAATACTCAAAATCAAAGAATCTCTTTGCAAGAGGCAAAGTAGTCATGGGAAGTCATGAATCATGGGAAGCTGAGAAAGATGAGATTGTTCTCATTCCATAGAAACCAAAGCAGAACAGACTGTGGTAGATAGGAACCACTGTGCCATCTGTCAGGGTTGCTACAGGAGAGCAAGATAAGACAATAGCTAAGTACCTCTTAACCAGAAAGGAAGGCCTATAATCATTATTATGCAATTGATAATTATTAATACTGATTATTTGTGCCCAGCATCCTGATTGGCTTGAGCAATAAGATCAATCTCGAACTCAGCCATTAAATTTGATACATGATGTATTTAATCTATGGCAGATGCTGTGTTAAGTCCTGATGATGAAATATATATTGTCTCATGACTGAGACATATGCAAGGAAGAATGGAGATCATGTTAGCACCCCGTTTCCGTGATGATTATTCTCCTTACAAGATTGCTAATTCCTTAAGGATATAAATCATATCTTACACATCTTTGTATAATCTAGACAATGTTGGACTAGACAGGTGCTTAGTGAGTAGCTACTGACAAAAGCTTGAATGAGGCAGAGGAAATATCACAGCATACAGGAAGCCTCAGAACTGACCTCGGTCTGTCCAGGACTCACAGCTGCATGACAAGCAATCATGAGTGAGCTGTTAGGAAAGGGCCAGTGCTGGGATGCGGAGTAGTGCAGTCTTTCCACCTCCAAGCCCACCTCTTCCGCAACTTCTCGCTGGACAGCCTCTTCCAGACTTTCACCTACAAGCACTCAGATTAATTCAGGACAGCCCTGCAGCAGGAAGGGTGATACAGATGCCCATTTGTGAAAGAGCAAAACTGGCTCCAAAGCATCATTGAAATACTTGTGGGAGAACCTTAAATCTCTGAGTCTGTACAACAGGAATCAAGCCTAGAGTTGGGTGTTGAATTGCAATAGTTAAACCAACACAATACAATGCAAAATGGTCATAACACTAAACAAGAGTGGCAGTGGGAGAGGTTACTGTCTCGTCAGCTTTAATAAAATTCTAATGCCACATTTTACCATTTGCAAATTTTACACTGACAGAGTGAAAAAACCTGTAAATAAATACTGAATTCTGGTTAATATTATGCATGCTGAAATATTTAGGGAGAGGTGTACTAACATCTGCAATCTATGCATCAGAAAAGAAGATGGGTTAATGGGCAGATAGAAGAGTGGATAGGTATGTGATAAAGTAGGTATAGGAAATTAGAGTCTAGGTGGTGAGAGTGTATATGGGTTTTCACTGTATAGTTCTTTCAACTATGCTGTACGTTTGAAAGTCTGCCTATAAAATATTGGAAAATTATAATGCCAGAGGGGTTTTCTGGACATAACAGGAGGGAAGGTGCTTGACACCCCAAGCACTATGACAGCAACACAAGAAATAACTACTATTGGCGTGTTTTTGCGTCTTCCAGTGTCATCTGTACATGCCCTAAACTTACCTATATCACAAAAACCTGCCAAGGCAGAGTACATTCCCTTGGGGAAAGAACTCTGACGGGCAAGCAGGCATCGAGTCCCATCTGACACGAGAGTGATCACCACAGGAGCCATCTAGGAAAAGGGGAAGGAAACTAGGGTTTTGGAGCCTGTGAATGGGATGAAGGCATGAATCACCACAGAAAGCCTTTTAATTGTACCGGCTTCCATCCCCAGGACAGAGCAGTGTGTAGCCTTCTTGATTACTGGCCTTTTAATGCTGTGCTTACCTGTGGATAATAGATCATCTTATTAGAAGGGCACACACGCTTGCTGCCAGCCACATTCTTCTTGGTGGGCTGCCCACTTTTGCTGCAGAACTGATGAGCATCATGCCAGCGGAGGAGGGCCTGAGCCTAGCAATACAAAAATGGGCTTGGTTTCATTTGGAGAGAGTATGAGGCTCATCTATAATAGTGTGGGGCCTAGTATTCGGAACAGCTCAAAGGGAAATGCCAATGCCCTTCCAGTTCACCTACTTTACATGGTTATTAAACTTTCAAATAAGGAAACTACTGAACATAATCCTCGGACATCTGAAATACAAGTAAAGCGTATTTTAAATGTATTATGAATTATTTAAAATATATGTAATATATAAAGCATTATAATAAACACCCATGTACTTATGACCCAGCTTAAAAATAAAACATTTCCAGCCCTGGCTGGTGTAGCTCAGTGGGTTGAGAGTGGGCAGTGAACCAAAGGGTCACTGGTTCGATTCCCAGTCAGAGCACATGCCTGGGTTGCGGGCCAGGTCCCCAGTTGGGGGTGCGTGAGAGGCAATCACACATTGATATTTCTCTCCCTCTTTCTCCTTCCCTTCTCTCTAAAAATAAATAAGAATCTAAAATAATAAAACATTTCCAATATAGTTGAACATCCCAACATATATTCTTCCTCAATAAAGTTTGAATATTTTTGCAAATAAAAGATGTTTACTTAGAGATATCTCTAATTAAATAGATAATCAAAAGCACTTTAGCAAGTGAAATGTAAAGCTGTAAGGATGAATGAAAGCAATAAAAAATAATTTCTCATAGGAAAAACATGATGCATGACATGCTATGGGTCACTGATAATGTTTATGAGGCTGACAGATGCCATAGATCCGCAGGTATTGGTCCTGACAGCAATCTTGCCAAAAACAAGGACAGAAGAAAGAAGAATCAATCTCCCTATAGCACATTGTCCTGCCAAGGTCTGTAGGGAGAACTATAATCTACGCTAGCCTCGTGTCATGCATGCACTACTTGCCCTTGTATACTGTTTTACTAAATTTCCCACAGAACTGAGAAGTCAGAATCTACCGTGGACAGCAAGGAGGCATCCTTCACACTCAGCCGAAAGAGAGCCTTCCTCAACTCAGTGAAAGAGCCCTTGAGCTCTGCCTCCATTTCTGGTTTCTGTAGGGAAGCTAGAAAATTAGAAAAGAATGAAATGAAACAAATGTCAAACTGCCTCAGCCCCTCTCAAATATATCTTGTTAGAACAGTGTTGCCCTAGCTTGTCAAATAAGACTCAACTAGGGAAAATAAAATATATACAGGTTCTCAAGCCTTGTGTGGAGATTCTGAACAGCCAGTGAGTGAGGCCCAGAAATCTTTTTAACAAGCACCAGGTGATTCTCATATTTAGGCAAATTTGGGAAACAGCACGGTGCTATTTCCCAAGCTCCTTTTCAGGGCAATGAGAACACCTGTGCTAGCCAAACACTAGCCCTGGAAAAAAGGTGGAACTGAACCTGTAAGCACCTATCTGAACCTCCTGTCAGCACCCTGACATTGGGACACACCCTGAAGGGGAGGAAAGGCCAGATGGGAGCCACGTGCTGTGGCAATCTGGCCCCCAAACGCAGCACTGAAGATCCAGTGTACTTCAAGGTGACCTGTTTATCCACTGGCATTGATAAGAGATACAAGAACAATGTCATGAATTTTAAAACATTTCCTATGAAATATTTATGACAGAAAATGTATAAAGGTAGAGAATAATACAATAAACATCTTTGTATCCACCACCTGCCTTAGAAAGAAGGCATTAAAATTCCTTTATTTTCTTTTAAATGACAATAGTAGATGGTACTATTTTTTATGCCCTAACTTAAAAATAGAAAGTTGATAACCTTTCTCTATTCCCAAATCTTTTTTTTGAAATTTTACTGTCATGTGAAATCCCAAAGTCTGAGAATTCCCAATAGGAATAATGTATGTACCACTCATGGAAGAGGAGTTAGTTAGACCTAGGTCCAGAGCAAACCATGCTTCATGCTGTTCGGAGCATCCAATTAGCACAGAATCTTCTATTCTTTGTGCATCCTGTCCAAGCTTTCCCAGGAGCTTTTCCAACTCTAAGAAACATAAAAGGAGAAGGGAGAAAAACAAGGGCTTTAATTGAACCACCTGAGCCATCTTATAGGAAATCATCTACATCAGCCTGAAGTAGGCATACCTAGCTTCAGTGGCTGCCCTGCAGCTAATTAGCTACATAAACTTGGTCTAATATCTTAACCTCTCTAGGCCTCCATTGTCTCATCAGCAATCCGAGGAGTTCAGACTAAAGAAGGAATTCTTCCTGCGTAACCCTGTAAAGAATTCTTCCTGCGTACCATGAAAGGAGTATATCCCCTAGTTTAAAAGATCCATGGTAGTTAACTTATGGGACTGAAAAAAGAGTCACATTTAAAATGGTAGAGACCAAATCAACTGTCTAATGTGGTCTCTGGATTATGCACCTTCTGTGGGCCAAAGCAGAATGAGCATCTGAGATCCCAGTCTGTGGAAGACGAGCTCTGTCTCAGGAGCAAACCTGTCCTCCTGGGCATGAAAGACTCCTATTTATTTGTTCACAATACAACAAAATGTTGCTACATCTCTAAATATTTAGTGCCTTCTGATGGCATCCTCATATTCTTCTGCAGTGCTGGAAGCTTGCTTTTAGATACTCCAACATCTGCCCATGAAGGAAATGAATGGGCAGTGTATATTAAAGTTAGTCAGGGTATAGCAACATCATATAAAACCAAAAGTGTCTTGAAAACCAAATCCCAGCAGCTTAGACATCTCCAAAAATGGTATATCTCCAATATACCCAAAAAGAGCTGTAGAAACAAATTAGCTTTAATTCACTTTAATTTTGACCCTTCTAGGAGAAATGAAATCACAATGCAAATTCTTGCCAGTATAACAGTGTTCTACTCCATGGAGGCTGGAAATCACGTCTAAGGCAGGAGTGGCCAAATCTTTCAGGCTCTTGAGCTTTGTCACAACTACTCTGCTCTGTCATTATAGTGTGAAAGCAGCCACAGACAATCTGGAAATGACTGTGTTCCAATAAATTTTTTTTTTTTTAAATGTGGCAGGTTCCAATATGGACAGCAGTTTTGCTGACCCCAGGTTTAAGGCAGTAGTGGTTCATACCATCCCCAAATATGATGTGGCTGGGCAACACAGGTTTATACACTAAGTAATTAATTGGCAGAAGCAGTTTGAAAACACCTGTCCTTTAAAGCTGGAGGATCCTTCTCAGGAATTCAATATGGACTGAGTTCTGCTTAGTTGTCTACTCGGGGCTTACCTACTAGGCTATACTGGGGCAGCAGGTATTGATGTTCTGATTTCTGAAGCAAAGGAGCCAGGTTATGAAAGAGATAAAATGCTCCTGTCTGCTGGGCTTTTTTACATGCATCATCATCTTCCTTCAGTTCAAATAAATACCTGTGTTTTGGAAATAAAGCATTATGAAGCCACATTTATTTACTTGCACAGCATTCATCTTTGAGAATCCTGTTCCTGCATCCCTCTCCTACCACAGTTATTTCCTCTTACGTACACCCCACATTGCTCTCTGAAGGATCTGAGGTGGCTGCAGGCAATCAGCTTCTCCTTGTCCTGCTATATACCTGGCCAGTACTTCTGTGCTTGCCCTTCTGTTGTACTAGCTGTTAATCTGTCTGTCTCCCCAAAAGATTATGATCTCCTTAAGGGCAGGGTCTGCCTTACTTCTGTATCTCCAGTATTTAGCATATTGAATGGCTCAATTCCATAAATATTTATTGAATTGAGCTTCAAGGGTAATATTTACTGAATTGAACCTCAAGGTACTTTGCCAATATTGCATTATGAGGCAAGAATTTACCGCAGTGGATTGAAAGGAAAACAAGTGATGAAATATCAACCACAGAATACCTACAGGTGGATACAGACTTCACTATTGCAGTCAAAGAGTAAACACTATACCTTCAGTAACTCTCATTCAATCTAGGGACGATAAAGAGCAAGTTTCATCTTCAATGCAAGTTTCTCTCAACTATCTAGTCCCCCAAGTGGACACCATTTGCTCCTCATCTTTACTGAAGAGACCACTGATGGGAAAGGGAAGCTATTACTTGACTTATTTAGTAAGAGTAACATTTTCAGTAGCCAAAATAAAAATGTGGAAAAGAGAGCATCATATAATGAGCTTCTATTGTAAAAGAAATCGTACTGGCACACGTCCTAGGCTTTTCCAGTGTCTTCATTAAGGATGGCCTACGTCTATCCTTTTAAGAGCATTGGGAATCCGGTCAGCTTTCCTGTGATGTGGGGAGTGGGGGAGACTGAAGGTAGATTCTCTTTCCAGGCCTTAGAGATAACTGTTTTTGCCTGTGGAAAGCCCTAGAACAGACTCTTGGGTGTACAACATAATTTGTCACTTAAGCAGGAAACCAGGTTTACAGATAAGTTCTGTAGGATCTGTGCGCTTTTATAACACTGGCAGGCAAAGTTGCCTCAACATAAAACTATGAAGCAAAATGATAAACACACCTCAGCAATGTCCTTAGAAACCTATTGTTGACTGTGTGATAAAAGGGGTTACAAAGATCTCTTTGTGGACAGAAGACAAAGGAAACCTGAGATTTTAATACCACTGATATTTTTAAACTTATCGTGAGGGACTGCAGCCTTCTGGGGCAAAGACTCAATGCATGTCAAAGGAGAGACAAGTGCCACTGAGAAGTTCCCAAATATAAACAATAGAACAAACACGCCGCCTTCATAAAAGAACAGAAAGAGTGGTACAGCCCGTACTTTGCCCTAATGACCCTAGAAAACAAAACACGGAGGTTAAGGTCTTAAACCTGGGGCCTCATTGGAACTGGAACTGAGATTAAAAAAGTTTTACATTCTTCTGGATCAGAAACACCATTTTTAAAAATTCATTTCTCCCCTTTAGTTATAATAGCATGGAAACCATAAAATGAAGATCAAACTTAAACTGTTTTTTTATATTATAAAAGTAAAAAAATAAAAATCAGGAAATTCTATAAAATTCAGGAGATTCTATAAAAATCAGGAAATACAGTTATCAATTTTTTTCACAAAAGGAAATCATTAAGAATCCCACAACTCAGAGATGATCACTGTTTACACTTTGGAATTCTCCAAACTATTTATTACTATTAGGCATGTATACATACATAGGTCTATTTAGAATACCTACTAATTTGTAGCCTTTTTTCTTAAACATATTAACATTTTTACACCACATTCCTTATTAATAGAATTTTATTTTTTTCTCATGACTTTTGATTCATTTTTAAATATACTTAATCACTTTAACACTCATTTTTAGACTATTCAGTAATTCTGTTATTGTTCTCAGAGTCTCACCCTGAGAACTGCAAATAACGTAAGTGCCCAACAATATCAGAAACAAACATTGCAATTCTGTTGTGTTCTCACCCTTGCTCGTGTCAGGCTGCATGCTTTTGTGCCTTTACACTTCGGACTGGCACTCATATTTGGCGGAGCATTCCATGTGGGAAGCCTTGGTCGTGAGTGTTCCCTCCAGAGGAGTTTTACACTTGCTTCTGCAGGGTGCCCGGGGTATTATTAGTTTAGGGCCACTACTTAAATTCTTTTCTTCAGTAGGGGATTTTTGGACTGCACCACATGGATGATACAAATTTAAACTCCCAAACTATATGAGAGCAGGCTAGTGATTTCAAGTTCACAGATATCAAATGTGCCCAGGCTGTGACAAAGAAGTCATTTACCATTTTCCAATACTGGTACAGATTTATGTTTTCTAGTCCAGTTTTCACTGGTGTTTCATTCTTTGGTGGCAGTGGGTATCAGAACTGGAGTTATTTACATTATTCTCAAGAAACTTCATGAACTATTATTCAGTATAGTTTTTAATTCATTCCATCATATGGGTGTGACATAGTTTAATTTCTCTCTACCTGTTCACTCACCATGCGACAACACTTCAGTGCCCACCATGTGCCGGGTACTGTCTTATGCACCAGGGGTGTCGATGGAAAACACACCATTCCTATCTTAACAGAACTTACATTGAAGCATGTCAGCTATTTTAGATATTACTGGAAATTTAGTTTATTTAAAACTTTTCCAATTACAAACAACTTTCAGTGAACATCCTTATACATAAATCTTAAATCTTACAACCTTAGTCCTCAATATAGGATTTTGAGATTTTTATAATTTAATGGGCTGACATTTGAATAATCAGAGCTCAGATTGGTCAAAACTCACCGGGTCTTGGTGACGTAGGTTGACAGCAGCCTGTAGCACCAAAAAGATTTTCGCCTGCAAGCAGTCCCACAGTACAGAGACATTGTCAGGTCCTTAGAGGAAAGAGTTAAAAAAAAAAAAAGGATCACAGTATGCAATTTAAAGTAATGAATCACCAAGAAGGTTATACTTTAAGCCAGAATAGTATTACTTTTTAATATTAAGAGAAACTGAATAGGAGTCAGGTGATCTGGCTTCTAAATTGCATTTCTACCACAAACTAGCTATGAGATTTTAACTTTGCAATGCCTCTTTCCTAAAGAACAGAATCAAAACCTGTTCTGCCCACCTAGTGTATGGTTAGGAGAGTCAGCTCACTGCACACAAGTAACGTGCGCTTGTCCTTCCATATCGTGGATCTGTTGCCGGGAGGTAGTTGCTGAACCAAGGCCCCCATTTCTCTCCTCCCTTGTACATACGTGGGGCCAAAACTGTCTTAACAATGGAATGTGAGTGGAGTCATGTTTCTCTCTTCTAGGCCGAAGCGGTTCAGAAGTGGCTATGCCTCTTCATCCTCCTACTCCCCTTCTGCTAAGAAGACTCTAGATGGCAGAACCATTAGATGGAGAACCTTGAGTCACTACATGGAGAAGAGCCACCCACCAACCAAAAATCCCCCAACCTTGGACAAGTTATGAGTGAGAAATAAACTTCTACCATAGTAAGTCACTGAAGTTTCAAAGTTTGCTACTGCAGCTAGCATTACTCTAACAGACCAAGTAAGTCCGGGAGTGTCTCAGAGTAATGGGGCCACATTTCTCAGAATACCTGAAAACCAAAGTCCCTCTGAATATGAAGTACGTAGGAAAAATATAAAATCACAGCCATTAGAAAAATATTTCAAAAGATAGCTACGCAAATCTACATGGATCTAAGGTATTTTTTTATTTCATTGTGAGAGAAAACATGCTATTATCTTTAGAATGTATTTTGCTGAAGGTGATTCCTTTTAAATTGTATATAAGTATTTTATTTGCCATGAAAAGTACATTTCATATTAGCAATACAATTGTCAAAAAGTGCCCCTGAAATGAGAAAATTGGCACAGTTAAATAATCAGCCACCCTTTTAACTGTGCCCAAGGGAAACACACTTTAACACTAAACCACCAAAGGACATCTAAATTTTAGGCCTCCTTGGTGGCATAATTATGAAAGACATATGACTAATCTTTGGGCAGTTTTGGCTATGTTGGTCCTAGCCAAAGGTAAGTTATATTTAGCAAATGACATTCAATAAAGTATTCACAGAGCCTGACTTTATGCAAAGGCCCTTAAGGAATGCAAAAACATACAGGGTGAAAAGCCTGCTCTCAAGTGACTCCAGCAGGAGAAAGAAAACAAATGATTTCACAGAAGGCAGTATGTGATACACAGGTTACACAGCATCCCAGCACAGTATTAGCAGTGATTAGACTTATGTGATATACTGGAAGAAATGTATTTAAAGTCAACATTTCTTCCTCATATGTATCTCTGAAAATGTAATAAACACTCCTTTCACCTAGCAATTCCACTTCTAGGAATTTTTCCTAAGAAGGAAAGGATATGTACAGGAAAGTTAAATGAAAGTTATGATAAAAAGGAATCATACACAACTGTTAAAAAATAAATAGAAAATAACAGTAGAAAAATGTATGTGTAATAAGCAGGAAAGATATTCAGAATATATTAAGAGAAAGTAATTTTTGGTTGGTTTAATCTGATCTAATTAATTTATAAAGAAAAGAACATATATTTCCTTGGCAAGTATGACTCAGTTGGTTGGGTTGTCATCAAGAAACAGAAAGGTTGCAGGTTCAATTTCTGGTCAGGGCACATACCTAGGCTGCAGGTTCGATCCCCAGTCTGAGCATGTACAATTCCTAGTCTGGGTGCGTGCTGAGAAACAACCAATGAATGCTTCTCTCTCACATCAATGTTTCTCCCTCTCCCTTCCTCTCTCCCTATCTAAAAAGAAAAAAAAAAAGCAATGAAAAAAATCTCAGTTTAGGATGAAAAGAACATATATACATACAAGAATACATAAATTAGATACATATTTATTCAATATTTGTATTTTTAAAGTGATTAGAAGTACACATAACAAACCGTTAACAGTGACTAATTTGGCAGAGCAGGATGGAAATAGATTGAAAAGGGTACCTGTAATTTTTACTTTATACATTTCTGTACTTCCAACCCAATTAACTGTGTATACATACTCCTATTACAATAAAATAAAGTATAATAAGGGGTCGTTCCTGGGACTAACCGCACAGTGAGGCTATTTCCAGGCCATTGTTTCCTCATCACATTCCCTGGGAGCCAGAATAAATGCCGTTGGGATGGTCCTTGAATCCTGAAAACTGTAAGAGCTGTTTGGTTGTAGTTATGACTACGAGGACCTGTGCAGCCCACAGCGCTTGATTGCCTGATGCTTTGCCTGGTTTCTGCTACTGAATACTACCCCTTGTGAAGCACTGTAACCTGCTAACTCATGGGATGGGGGTTGCAGAACTTGTAGAAAACATGGGTATGTATCACAGAAATGTGCGCTTGAAACCCATATGATCTTATTAACCAATGTCATCCTAATAAATTTAACTTAAAAAAAAAAAGAAAACAAAGAGCCCTGGCTGGTGTGGCTCAGTGGAGTGATGTGCGAACCAAAGTGTCTCAAGTTCGATTCCCAATCAGGGCACATGCCTGAGTTGCAGGTCAGGTCCCCAGTAGGGAATGTGCAAGAGGCAACCACACATTGATGTTTCTCTCCCTCTCTTTTTCCCTCCCTTCCCCTCTCTCAAAAATTAAAAAAAAAAGTTAAAAAAAAGAAAGAAAAAGAGAACATGATGAAATTCTTAATGTAGCTTTAAAAAATATCAATAATCAAGAGCAAAACCAGAATTATTTAAACTGAGAATTGTACCTTTGTTGGTAGTCATAAGCCTAAAAGATTAAGTCTAATTCCTTTTCTGAATGGTCCCTTGTATATTTTTATATCATCTTATATAAAAGCAGTGCAGAGTCTATTTAAAAGTCAAAGAAGAGAAAACGATTTTCTTAAAATTCAGTTTTTACTGTATTTTTCTCTTTAAATAGGTAAGTTACAAAATTAATATAACTACATTACAGGACATCTGGAACACAAAATTGTGAGAGCACCCATTATATTACCACATAAAAATAACTTCTATTGAATATTTATTTTCTAGACTTTTTACTCATACCATTTTTACATATTTATAATCAGAGGACATATTTTTTCAACGTGCTTTCATGAGACATGGTATAAGCAGTCTTCTACGTTTTTATAGAAACTTCATAATTTTTTTGGCTACATAATTCAAGCATACTCATACTGACTTTAGACATTTTAGGTTGCTCTGATTTTAAAGTATCAGAAATGCCACCTGAATACCTCTGTGCTGATATTTTCAAGTTATTTTTTTAAGCTATTACCCAAAGTAGAATTACTGGGATAAAATTTATTTTAAAATCAATAACACTGCCCTGACTGGCATGGCATAGTGGTTTGGGCATCGTCCCATAAACCAAAGGGTAGTTGGTTTGATTCCCAGTCAGGGCACATACCTTGGTTGCAGGTCAGGTCTCCAGTTAGGGGTGCATAAGAGGCAAACGATCGATATTTCTTTCTCACATCAGTCTTCCTCTCCCTTACCCTGTCTTTCTCCCTCCCTTACCCTGTCTCTAAAAATAAATAAATAAAATCTTTAAAAAATGAAAAATAAAATCAATGGCTCTTTCTACACACTGTCACACTTAAAAGATTAACTAACATATAGTTTAAGAGAACTTTTCTATTTCTTTGATCACTGTAGAGATTGAAAGTGTTTTCAGATTTAATAGTCCTTGTTCCCCTTTTGAAAACATCTGATGTCCTGTGCTCATTTATTAATTGTGGTTTTACTCTCCTTTTGACCATTCTAATTTTTAAAATACTATAGCCAGTTAGTGAAAGACAAATATATGATCTCACTTACATGTAGAATCTAATGAACAAAATAAACTGATGAGCAAAATAGAAACAGAGACATGGACACATGGAACAGACTGACAGCTGTCAGAGGGGAGGGGTTGGTGGGGACTGGATCACAGAATGTGAAGGGATTAGCCAAAGGACATACATGCATAAGCCACGAAGACAGACAACATTGTAGTGATGGGCAGAAGGAAGGGGACCTGGGGTGGGGGGCAAAGCTGGGGAAAATGGGGACATTTGTGATAGTGTAAGCAAAAAAAATAAAGTTAAAAATATAGTACATTTACAGCACATTCCACAATTTGATCACCAACATGCATTATAGGAACCAGCTGCTCTGCGTATTGTTTTTCTCTTTGAAACAGTCATTCAGATCGAATCTCAGTACAAAAAAAAAAAGAGGCTCTTTTAACAGTCAAGAGGATATGTGAGATTTTAGAATGAAAATATAATTTCTTATAGCCCTATACTATTCAGAAATCTAGTAGAGTGAAAATTTGCTACTTTTTCCTGAACTATTGGTGATTTTTTACTATCTTTTGGGATCTTCAGTGTGATGCGTAACTCAAAGTGTATTGGCCCACAGGCTCAGATTTGGTCAACGTGCCACCATACATCTTTCTGCTCAAAGGCCACTTTACAAACAGAATAGTTGTCATTGTTTGAATCAGGGCTACCGTTGTGTTTTAATGCCTGGCGGCACACTGAAGACAAAGTTCACTATTTACAAAACACATTTGGCAGAAAATACCTGCATCATTGTTTTACTTTAGATGACAACCTTAGGCCTATTCTGTTTACAGTACAAATGCAAGTCTCCAAAGCAAGGAAGAACAGGGACTTAAGCACTGGACAGACTCTGGTCCTTTTAGTCCTGGCTCCCCCACAGACTGAACTTATAACCTGGGGCTATCACCTAGCTTGTCAGAGCTTGGTTTTGGTCTCACTTCTCACTGGGAAGGGAAGGAGAGAATAAGGACCTCAGTGTATCACAACTACGTCAGGTTTTGCATAACTACTTCTCAGGTCTGCTCAACTGTAAAATCCTTAAAGGTGAGGATTGTGTCTTCCCTATCTACAACAGCTGGCACAGTGTAAAAAACAATATATTAATACATGAATGAGTGAATGAAGTTATTCCATTTTACAAGATAAAACTTTAAGAAGTTAACCACAGAAGTCTGAGACCACAATCCTTCAGAGTAGCAGAGTCAAAGCCAGGGCTATCTGGCTCCAAAGCTTATGTTTTAATAAATATATGAGAAAGCATTTTCTAACATTCATTTTATTATTTACGTTTTTAAAAAGTGCAAAGACTGATAGAGATGAAAGGTAATATTGTTTTTACTGAAAACTATTAAATTATGAGGCAAATCCCTTAAGATTCACAATTTCTCTGACCCCCGTCATGAATGGTTCACATACTTCTCATCCTGTTCATCTTAACAGAAGTAATTTGTAAAACGCTACAGCATGACAAAAAAGCCCATCTTGAATCTCCCTGGTTACGTCTACCAAGCAGCTGGGCTGGCAGTATTTGAGAGAGCCCTCTGCAAAGGGTCTGTCTTTTCATTGCAGCAGACCAGAATGGGAGGGGAAATACACAAAACTGAGAGGCCACTGGGATACAGATTTCAAGATCTCACTAACCAGCTTTATGGTTTACTTTCTAAAAACTAATTTTTCCTCCCTTAATTCAAAAATAACTCATGCACAATGCAGAGAAGTTAGCAATCCCATTTCCAAGTGACTCTCCAAAAAAGTACCAGAAAGTCATTAGCTGTGGTTAATAAGATAATTCCACAAATTATGATGCAAAACTGTGGTCATTCCCTGGTTTCTGCAAGAAGGAAAAGGGGCTAAGCTGGAACTGCAAAATGCTGTAACTAAGAGGGGTTTTTTTTTTTCCAAGTTCTGCTTATACTTTCTCATAAAATGCCTCCTGCACTTAGAACCTGAACAGTTTTCTGTCCAGTTGTACTCACTCTAAATTCTGTTGGAGGTGGGTGCCGTTGTAGGCCTCAATAATCAGCAAACACCAGGAAACTCCTAACGTTCCTGGGAAGTGGGGCTTCCCTTGACCAGAGGGACTCCGCCACACTTCCCAGAATCCTCCTGGGCATGCCCTCTGGGAAATGTAGTTCAAGGTTTATGTGATCTGCTAAGCCTTCCAGTGGCACAGACAATATGGTTGTCAAAAGCCTGATCTAGGATCTTCTAAATCCATTACCAGGAGAACTATTGTGTATTTGGAGAAGGCCGAGTACCATTAGATCCATTTTTTTAATAAGATAAAATAAAATCATTAAACCAGTTATACACAGAGCATATTTTGTGAGGGAAGGGGAGGAGTTTGAGGCCAGAAATGAGACACCTTTCAACCTTCCTGTATCTTTAATTCTCTCTCTGCCCACTTTTTTTTTTCCCAAAAAATAAACACCTTTTTCACATAAGCTTTTAGGAAAGGAGGGAGGAGGATTTCTTTGCCTTTCCGGGCCTTGGTTTTCCTCAGCTAGAACTGCAGCCCCTAGCCCGCTAACACAGAGCCATCTGCGTGGCCATGTTACAGAACAGAACAAGGGGGGCCTGGGACAATATACTATTATTGAAAGAAGGCCCCGGGTCCGTTATGTCCGCTGCCCTAGGAAAGACGTCTCTCAATGCCAGAGATTCGTGAAAAGGAAAGGAAATGTTTATTTAATGCTATACAGACTTCAAGTAGTGACCTAATGTCTTTATCAAAAATCCCAAAGTCCCTTAAAACACCCACAAACACAGTCACAGTCCTTCCTTCCTTCCCCCTTTGCCCAGTCCAGAGTACCGTATCTCAGGAAAGGAAATAGAAGTCCATGGCTCAGGCAGTCCTCTGGTTATTCCCAGTTAGTCCTCCATCTCACCTGGGAGACCTCCCTGGGTTCCCGGCAACCTCGGCTGAGTTGCCGGGATCTCTGCTAAAACCAGGTGGTGGTTCCCCTTCTAAAGTTGTGGGGGTCCCCACTCTGTCCAGGCCTCGTGGTTCTCCCTCTCAGGGCTGCGGGAAGGGGAGAGTCCCCACTCTGCCAAAGCCACGTGGTTCTCTCTCCTAAAGCAGCACCGTTCTCTCTGGGATGCAGGAGTCTCCACTCCATCAAAGCCGCGTGGTTCTCTCAGGACTGCGGGAGTCTCCACTCTGCTAAAGCTGTGTGGCTCTCTCTCTCTCAAAGCAGCATGGTTCTCTTTGGGATGCAGGAGTCTCCACTCCGTCAAAGCTGCGTGGTTCTCTCTCCTATGGCTGCGGGAAGGGAGAGTCCTCACTCTGCCAAAGCCGTGTGGTTCTCTTTTTCAATGGCCGCCAAGTCTGGGTTTTAAATCCCCGCGGCCAATCTTCCTCTGCAGCCTCATTTCCGACTCCTCCCACACTTGGCTTCACTTGCCAGAATTCATATCCTTCCAGCTTTACTGGGCTGCCATCTTGAGTCTGGGCAGGCGTGGCCCCATGTCCTGGAGCCAATCTTCTCCGAGCTCCCACGCAGGCGCTGTAGCTTGGGGGGATCTGCCCCCAGTCACATGTTGGTGGGGGAAGTTACTTCCATTCCCCTGGCTCAGAGATGATCACAGCTATTTAACATATCTAAGCGACCAGCCAAAGGCTATAGATATGTTAAATGACCACGCCAGAGGGTAGCTGCAAGGCTGTTGCTTTGCAAAACAGCTCTCAATGGCCCTGCTCCATTTGTCCCTTCCCCCAACCCACACCCTGGGTGGGGGGATGGAGACATCTTAAAATCTCCTGGACACCTTAAGTTCTGGACCCCATTTCAAATGTCCATTTGGGGTCCCCCCTCTTGGCTGCACCCTATAACAGCCACACCGGCCTGGCCTTGAGGCGAGGCACGCAAGAAGCATGCCCTGCTGGAACTGCTCCTCGAGAAGGCGGCTGATTGTGGCGTTCTTTTTCCCTTCATCATATTTCTTCTGAATTTTCTTTGATCATTTTTTGTTTAAAATCTCTTCTCCCTCAGGAGTCAGCTTGGCCTCTGTCTTGCGGCCCAGCGGCAGCACATAGTGGGACTCGTACCGCTGTCGGTGAGCACCGTGCAGCTCGTTACCAGGGTCTCAGTGCGGACCAGTCCTTTGCCGGGTGTGTTGTAGACATCAGTAATCCCTGTTCTGCGCGTGCAGCGCCCCGAACCCCAGGAGAAGTTGCCCTTGTCCAACCTCAAGGCTCAGTACTTCCTGCCGCCTCCCCACACACAGACCATGTCCGCAGTCGGGGTGATCTTAGTGGGCAGCAGGGTGTCCCAGCCGGTAGTTTCACTTCTTGAGGCAGGGCTTTCTCTTGCCCCCGGTCTTAGGGCGCTTGCACAAGTTGTGCTGAGAGATGCCTGTGGCTTGCCACTGAACGGAAAAACCTGTCTGCCCGCTTTAGAACCAACTCTAACATTTCATGAAACTCTGCCAGTTTAAACGGACAAGACTGTGTCTAAATGTGTTTGAACTTAAGATAGAACGCATCCCTTGACCAACCAGGGCAAGAGGATTCCACCTAGCTGAAAGCAGTTGTCCGGCAGAAGTACTTTAATGCTGTTCTCTTCTCTTCTCACTACGAAAATTACTTGCTTCTATGAGAAGACAGTTTTGAAGGCCATCCAGTCAACATATATTGAATGGATACCCAATGTGCCTGGGATTGTTATAGGCGCAGGATATCACAGAAAACAAAACATGAAAACTTCTGTCCTTGTGTAATTATTCTAGAGGAGAAAACAAATAACCAAACAAGTGAATATACAATGTGTCAGGTGGTTGTAAGTGCTAGGAAGAAAAATAAAGCAAGATAAGAGGAGGAAGGATTTTGCTATTTTATATAGTGTGGTCAGCTCCATGGATAAGGTGATATTTGAGCAAAGACCATAAAGGAAATAAAAAGGAAAGCAAAGTGAATGTCTATGGGAAGAGATTTGTAGGCAGGAAAAAACCCCAACAAATGCAAAGGCCCTAGAGAGGACGTGTGCCTGGCAGGTTTGAGGAAAGGCTAGCACAAAGTGTGGTGGTCAGAGATGCAGTCAAAGAGCAGCCAGATCACATAGGACCTTACACATCACAGCTCTTACAGAGCCATTGTGACACTTTTTAAAAAAAAATTCTGAGAGGGATGGGATATTATAGAAGAGTTTAAAGAGGAAAGTGAAATGATTTAACTTACATTTTAAAAGAAGCACTCTCAGTGTGGAGATTAGACTATAGGAGATAAGAGTTATTAAATTCAGAGTTGTTAGGATGTACCTATGTTGCCTGGGAAGGAAGAGTAACAGCGATGATTAGCTAACCAGCTGCTTCTTTTGGACCTGTCCATCAGCACCCAGGCTTTTTATAGAGTGCATCTCGCACAGGCTTGGGGGGTGTGGCAGAAGCATGCTTTTGACATGCTTCCTTCCTCCTTAAGGAAGGAAGAGAAATTTTGAGGGAAATAAGATATAAAGTCAAAGAGTTCCAAAGAGATGGGGAAGCATACATAGGGAAATTTAGGACTCCAGTAATTTTTTTAAATGATTTATTTATTTATTTTTAGAGAGAGGGGAACGGAAGGAGAAAGAGAGGGAGAGAAACATCAATGTGTGGTTGCCTGTCACACGCACCTTACTGAGTACCTGGCCTGCAACCCAGGTGTGTGCCGACTGGGAATTGAACCAGTGGCCCTTTGGTTCGCAGGCCAGCACTCAATCCACTGAGCAACACCGGCCAGGGCATGGCTCTAATAATTTTTTTAAAAAATCAAAATAACTGTTTTTGAGCAACTAAGCATTAAGTGCTATATAATAAAAAGTACTATGGTCTGAATGTTTGCATCCCCCCAAATTCATATGTTGAAATCCTAATGCCCAAGGTGATACTGTTAGGAGGTGAGGCCTTTGGGGGGTGATTTGGTCATGTGAACAGAGCCCTGGTGAATGAGATTAATGTCCTAATTAAAGAGACCCGAGACAGACCTTTGGTCCTTTCACCATGTGAGGATACAGGGAGAAGCCTGCAGTCTGTAGCCTGGGAGAGAGCCTTCACTGGAACTCAACCATTCTGGCACCCTGATCTTGGACTTCCAGCCTCCAGAATTGTGAGAAATAAATTTTTGTTGTATATAAGCCATCCAGGCTGCGGTGTCTTGCATTAGTAGCCCAAACAGAGTAAGACAAATAGCTAAGATTAGCTGAGCATTTACTGTGCTCTGGGCACTATGCAAAGTGTTTTACATATTTATCATTAATCCTTACATCCTATTTATTACTATTTGCACTTTATAGATGAGAACACAGAGGCTATATATCCTTGACCCCTATAATGTACTATCAACCTGGGTTGTGTCTCTGACTGGGGGTGTGGAGCAGGAAAGCTGATGTACATATTGGAAAATGTTGGAATGATGGAAATAATCTCATGTTCATAGATCTAAAGACTTAATTTTATTAACAGGGCAATATTCCTCAAACTGATCTACACATTCCATGCATCCCAGTCAAAATCCCAGCTAATTTTTTTGCACAAGTAACAAAAGAAAAAAATCAGACTTCATCAAAATTGAAAAATTTTTGTGCTACACACAATATCATCAAGTACTTGAAAAGACAACCCACGAAACAGGAAAAATGATTGCCAATCATACATTTGATGAGGAACTGTACTGAGAATATATAATGAACACTTACAGCTCAGTAATAAAAGATAAATAATTGAATTTTAAAATGAGCAAAGGATCTGCATAAACATTTCTCCAAAGAAGATAGAAAAATGACCAATCAGTACTAAAAGATGGCTCATTGGCCATCAGGGAAGTGCAAGTCCAAATCACAATGAGATACCTCTTCATACCCACCAGGGCGGCCACATCAAAAAGGCAGATAATGACAAGGCGTGCTGAGGATGTGGAGAAAATAGAATCCTTAGACACTACTTGTGGGATTGTAAATGGGGTAGCTGCTTTGGAAAACAGTCTGGCATTTCCTTAAAAAGTTAAACATAGAGTTACCAAATGACCCAGCAATTCCACTCCTGGATATGTATCCAAGACAATTGAAAACATATGTCCACATAAAAACTTGTTCACAAAGTTTCATAACAACATC